GAATAATGGTATTAAAAGAGCTATCAATAAAATTTCATAATTGCCTGTAAATAAATCTGATGACCTTGGAACAACTGCTTGACTTTCGTGAGATAGCACAGGGCAGGAAGGTTTGCAAAGTTGCTGAATTTGAGAAATCACACGGATTTGAAGTGTGCCTTCAAGTGGAAAGAGATTTGAGGATGATAGAAATTTATTTGAATAAGATGACAACAAAACAACAATGATATATACTTACTGCACGCAAATTTACAAACTGAAGATGGCTCGAGTAGACAAATTAGTTGTAGAAACAATATCGGGAAGTGTATTCATAATCTGGCAACTTCAATCAAAATACTAATAAGAAAACATAAAGAAGTACTAAAAAGAAACATGGCCTCCTATCAACTATATACCGGGTGTAACAGCAAAATTGTCCAAATCGTGTAACAGCAAAATTGTTCAAATCGTGTAAAATCAAAATTGTCCAAATCGCGTAAAAGCAAAATTGTCCAAATCGTGTAACAGTAAAATTGTCCAAATCGTGTAACAGCAAAATTGTTCAAATCGCGTAAAAGTGAAATTGTGAAAATTGTGAAATAGCAAAATTGTCCAAATAGTGTAAAACCAAAATTTCCAAATCGTGTAAAAGCAAAATTGTCCAAACCGTGTAAGAGCAAAATTGTTCAAATCGTGTAACTGAAAAATTGTCCAATTGTTAAATTTAAGATTTGAACCGTTATAACATGTAAATGATTAAAAATATCTTACTGGAATTCTTCGACGTGTTCATAACCTTATTGGGCTCTACTTTGATTAATAAGAATTAATATTTACTCTCTTTGCTTAACAGAAGAATCGTGATGAAATCGATCATAAACGAAAGATGACATGTTCATCCTTACTTAATCATAGCTAACGATCGAAAATTCATTAGGGACTGAAATAAATTTCAAATATATATATATATAATTCTAGGATCATTTTCCAACTTATTAAAGATGATCTTTGCACTTTCTACCCGTCTTACTTTCTGTTCTGGAGTAACAAGTTGCCTCATATGTTTCACGCGCGATTTCATTTTTCATGTCTTTTTTCACTGCTTTTTTGGACGGCCATAGCTGTAGTTCTTCTCTCACGTACCAAATGTCTTATGAATTGAGTTGGATCTTTTCTATTTGATCTATTTAGCTCTAAGTTGAAATGATGATCCCTCTTCATGTTGTTCCCTCAAGATCCAGTTTTCCGCTCTACTGTCCCCTCTTTTTTTAAACTTATTCACTGTTCTTGTGATGGTTCTTGAAGCCAGAGTATGAACGTTGTACCAATACTGAAGGCCGAATGATATTTTTCCCCTCACTATGGCTCAATTGGGAAGACTGTGGGTCTGATACAAAACGATTTTAATTTGTTCTTTTTCTAGCTGCATAATTCAAAGATGTTTTTTCAGTGATTCTCACGACAAATAGTGTCAAAATGGCTAACCGTCTTATCTGAAAACCTGTGAAAAAGAAACACAATTCAGTTCTTTTGTAGATATTAAACATTTTGTGGAATGGGCAATTATGCTGTTACACGATTTGAATAATTTTGCTGTAACATCCGGTATATGTATGTATACAAGATCTGATCCAAAGATAACGTGACTGTTGCTATGGTAACGAAGCTAAAGAAGGGAGAGTTAAGTCGCTTGGCACAGATTTACGTTCACTTTAGTTACGAATGCGCACTAAGTTATAACGTTCTCGCTGACTTCCGCATTTCGTGGAAGGAAAGCATATAAGGGTCGTTATTTTACAACACTGCAAAGGGTCTATTTTTGACCACTGCCTCTGCAGCAATTTGTGGTCAAGCACAGCATTCCCTAGGTCCGATATCCATCATATTTTCAAGATCTCAGTCTTTACGACATTTTCCTGTTGAGGATATCAAATGAAATGCAATGAGGCAACTGCTCGCTATCTCTAAAAAGCAATTAATTCTGTTTTGTTGTTAATGAAGAAACAAAATATTTTTGTATGAATTTGTTACGAAATTTATTCTTACCCCCTTTCTTTCTTTAAAACTTTCTCTGTTTATAATAAATATTTGTATCTATAAAAAGAATGTATAAACATAAAAAAAATCTTACAATAATTGTCGGACTTTGTCCATTTCATAATGTGTGACGTCATTTGCTTACATTTGGATACGCCATGAGCAGATATGAATGTACGTGAGAGAATCATGGAAGATTGTAGTTTAAAGACAGTAAAATCGACCTTGCTAACCGAACGCTCCTCTGTGGCCTAATCGGTTAAAGGCACGTCAGGCTATATGACAGTTCCGTATAGGATACAGGTTCGATTCCTGTCGGAGGACGAATATTTTCTGTGAAAATTTCTCGGACATTCAGGCCGGTAAATATTGTTTAATACTGTTTATTATAAACAGAGCATTTACTTAAATATTTGTATCTATATAAAAATGTCTTTATATATATATATATATATATATACTTGAGTTGGATCTTTTCCAATTGATTTCTTTAGCTCTAAGTTGAAATGATGATCCATCTTCTTGTTGTTCCCCCAGGATCCAGTTTTCCGCTCTACTGTTCCCTCTTTTTTTAAACATATTCACTGTTCTCTTGATGGTTCTTGAAGCCAGAGTATGGGCGTTGGTACCATTACTGAAGGCCGAATGATATTATTCCGCTCACTATTGCTCAACTGGGAAGACTGTGGGTCTGATACAAAAAGACTTAGGGAATGCTGTGCTTGACCACAAATTGTAGCAGAAGCAGTGGTCAAAAATATCACGTCATCCCATAAGTTCTGTCCGAATTTTAACCTTTTGTTAAAATGAACGAAATTTAAAGAGTATTTTATAATGTCTAATGGAGCTGAACATTATTTTTTTTATGTTTTGATGCATTTAAACTGATCATTTAGGCCGGTAAATGTTGTTTAATACTGTTAATTATAAACAGACCATTTACTTATATATTTCTATCTATAAAAGAATGTATAAACATAAAATGTCTTTATATATATATATATATATATATATATATATATATATATATATATATATATATATATACAGTTCAATAGTTTGAAGCCATCCCCAGAATTAGCATAGGATGGACTTGACAGAGGAATGAAAAGCTCATTGCAGAAAGAATGTAATTACTCATCAAACTTATACTGCAGTAATCAAGGCTAAAGGAGGATATTTTGACGAGAGCAAAATTTAATCAGAAAATGCTTTTTTTTTCTTTTCGTCGTAATAAAATTTCAAATACAAAACCATTTCTCACTTTTCTTTCAGCGTGTAGAATATTTTTCTCTTATTTACAGTACGATACACATTACCCGTGATGGCTTTAAATTGTTGAACTGTAATGGTTACTCGACTCTCCCGTCGAATTCGACGTATGAGTGTCAAGCAGATCAGTTCCTAGGAAACCGGCAGCCCAGACACCAGCAGATATGATTTGATTATAGTGGTGAAGGCTTTTCGAAGGGCCGAATACAGAGACCTGGTGCACTACGTGCCACAGGGTCCCCAAACGACCCTCCGCAGGTTTTTGAATTCAGAGTTGTCCTTCTCCTAGACCAATTGCCATCCGAGGCTATAGAACCCAATCTGTTCTGTAATTTACCCATAACTGGAGGGAGAAGAAGAGGATTCATAATTTCCCAAGGGTATTATCACGTAAGTGAATGTAATGGATTCGACTGGAATTCGAACTCGGCTCTCCGATTCCTCAACAAGAACGGGACCTTTATAGAATGCTAGACTTTAAGAATCTTCCTTAGGGCTCGTTGCAAATTCTGATTGGCTAAGTGCCTTTTTATGTCACTCTGCTCAGTAAGTGACTCGTGTGGCGTCTACTCAAGAAGTAGTACTCTTGTATTGAGCGATGAAATTGATACACTATATTGGTCATCTCTAGCTTAGATTTGATTGGGTTATTTTGATTAGTGACACCGAAGTTTGCGGCTTTTCTAATTTCTGTATTATAGGTTTTATATGTGTTTTTTTCGGTAATTACGGGAGAAATATGATGTTTAATGATTCATCGTATGGTAAATTCATTCTACTTGTAATTATTGTGCTTCTGGTTGCAGTAAAGATGCTTGATGTTTTTGGGATGCTATTTTTATTACCGTTGTAATGTATTTTTTGTAAAAATAATTTTATGTGTTTATCAATGATGTCGTCCGGAAAGTTATTGTCAACTAATGTTTCTTTTATGCGTTTAAGTTCACTCTGAAATATATATATATATATATATATATATATATATATAATTATTTTTATAAAAAATTTATAACATAAGTATATCACTAAAAAAATAGCCATTTTGTTTCAACACACTCTGTGTCTTATTGATGGTGTTGAAATCATATATATGTTATTTTTTTTATAAAAATAATTATATCTGCTCTATTTGTATTGAGCATATTTTAAAATAGTAATTGTTGGTTATTGGAATTCATTCCGTGTATACCAATTATATACTTTGATTATATATATATATATATATATATAGTGTATTTAGGGAGCAATCATTCATTTATTTTTCATTAAAACGACAGACAAGGAACTACGATTAAACTTTTTTTATTTAATTTTTCTTCAGTTCGAACAAGTGTTTTCTATTTTGGTCTTTTTTGTGGAGAAAGTGTCATCTATCTGTAAAATATGTTTTAAAATAATTATTGTATAATAATGTTTTTAAATAATAAAATTAAAGCCTTAATAATAAAAAATAAAAATCCGACACTTAATAATATTAACTACGAACACGGCCACAATGTAAATAATGTAAATAATTACAATGCCTCATCTCAGAAATATAGACAGATGTCTACTAGCAGTAATGTGGGACGTTTTAGAACTATATATCAAAGAAGAACTTAATAAATGTTTTAGTAGCACTCCAAAACACTATTACGTAACCATACAACAGTCATTATAACTAGCTGTAAATCAAATATTGGCATCTTACCCGATTAATCCTGTGTAACTCAGCTAGTTTTGTAATATATCCTACCAGTGATATCATACGCTACGCTGCTCGTTGTATAATATATTGAACAAAATATCTTGGCTTGAATAAAAGAAACAAAAAAGAAAGATAGATAAATAGATATGAACAGACGGGGATAGATAGATAGATAGATAGATAGATAGATAGATAGATAGATAGATATGAACAGACTGAGAACATAGGATAGATAGATAAATAGATAATGAACAGACTCAGAAGATATATATATATATATATATATATATATATATATATATATATATAGATATGAACAGACTGATATAGATAGATGGATAGATAGATAGATATGAACAGATTTAGAACATATGATAGATAGATAGATAGATAGATAGATAGATAGATGAACAGACTGAGAAGATAGATAGATAGATAGATAGATAGATAGATAGATATGAACAGACTGAAGATATATAGGATAGATAGATAAATAGATAAGATAGAAAATAGACTCAGAAGATATATTATATATATATATATATATATATATATATATATATATATATATATGAACAGACTGATATAGATAGATGGATAGATAGATAGATATGAACAGATTTAGAACATATGATAGATAGATAGATAGATAGATAGATAGATAGATATGAACAGACTGAAGAAGATAGATAGATAGATAGATAGATGATAGATAGATAGATAGATAGATAACTCGAATCCCGCAAACGGATAATGAACAGACTCAGAAGATATATATATATATATATATATATATATATATATATATATATATGAACAGACTGATATAGATAGATGGATAGATAGATAGATATGAACAGATTTAGAACATATGATTAGATAGATAGATAGATATGATAGATAAAGATAGATAGATAGATAGATATATAGATGGATAGATAGGTGAACAGAGATATGAGAAGAACATATGATAGATAAATAGATAGATAGATGGATAGATATGAACAGACTGAGAAGATAGGATAGATAGATAGATAGATAGATAGATAGATAGATAGATAGATAGATAACTCGAATCCCGCAAACGGAATGAACCGAATTTCAAAAATCAACTTTATTTTGCTTCCTTTTATTTTAAATTAAACTATAGAGCCTTTTTTTCTGTTCGGTTATTCAAATTTATGGCGATGCCGACACAACTTTTCTAAGTAGTCAACTGTTGACAATGTAACCATAAAACGGACAACGTTCGTAGCGAGGTGATATTCTTGTGCTAACGCTAGGTCGATTTGCGCTTGAAGGCACCCCTCAGGTGCCACACGTGAGGGTGACTCATTGCAGGATCAATGTGCACCAAAACTGTTTTGCACATGGACTATGGGCGTCATGCAAATTTCAATAAGCCGCAAGTCCACAATCGCTGCTCTGTCGACAAATCTGGATCGAACAAGCGACCGATAGGGGAATGAGAGAGAGAGAGAGAGAGAGAGAGAGAGAGAGAGAGAGAGAGAGAGAGAGAGAGAGGAATGGGAGAGTGAGAAGTGAGGATAGAGAATGATAGAGAGGGAAGCACCAGATGATGGGCGATCTATCGATCGGGTTTGTTTCTTTCCACCTGATACAAAAGGCAGCTGAATTGAACGAGAACCGATGCTCTTTGCCTATTCACCGGATTTTCTTTCCCCTTGGTCCTCTCATTTCCAAACCCATCCTTTTCCTACTGGCATATCCCTGCTCAAAATGGATGGAAGGACGACCTAAAGCCCGTCATCTTGGTTCGCTTGTGCCGAACATATCCCTTGGGTTTTTCTGATAAGGATGAAATTGTCACTCACAGTCCCTATACGAAGCGATGGTAGGAAAAGGGGTCGCAGTTGGGGGACTGGCTACGTTGAATATTTTATAGCCTCGTGGGTTGATTCATTTATTTAGTGTGGTTCCTGTTGCGCGTTCGTGCGGGAGTAGGGAAAATGCAAGCTTTGGCCTAATCGTATGAAGAAGAAGAAGAAGAAGAAGAAGAAGAAGAAGAAGAAGAAGAAGAATTAAAGGATGAGGAATACGAGGAGGAGGAAGAGGAAAAGTTAAGAGGAAGAACCGTAAAAGAAGAAGAGGTTAAGATTCAATAAGCAAATCAAGTAGATATACGATAAGAAGAAGTAGAAGAAGCAATGAGAGTAAAAAGAAAAGAAAGAAAGAAAAAAGTAGAAAATGAAAGAAATGTAAAAAAGAAAAATAGAATAAGTAAGAAGATATCAGGGCAAAGAAAAAGAAAAAGAATGAGACAACGACGACAAAAGAAAAAGGATGAGACAACGACGACTAGGATACAGAAGAAGAAGTAGAAGAAGAAGAAGAAGAATTGAAAAAGAGGAGGAGGATGACAAGAAGGAAGAGGAAAGGTAGAGTAAATTAAGGAGATGAATCAAGAAAGAAGAAGAAGAAGTTAAAATCCAATAAGCGAATAAAGCAGATATGGAAAAGATGAAAAAGTAGAAGGATTGAAGAAAGAAAGAAAGAAAGAAAGAAAGAAAGAAAAAAAAAAGAAAGAAAGAAAGAAAAAAAAAAGAAAGAAAGAAAGAAAAAAGAATGCGGAAACTCGCAAACGAAGAGTGAAAAAGATCGGATAAGTTAAAAGGTAACAGAACAACTAAAAAGAAGGCGACAACTACTACTAGTACTACAACTACTACTACTGCAACGACTACTACTGCGAAGAAGAAGTAGAAGAACGAAGAACAAAGAAATGTGGGAAGTAAAAAGAAAATATCGAGAAAGCACCAAAAGTGAAGAATAATAACAGAAAAAATGGAAGAAAAAAGAAGAACAGAGTGTAAATAATAAGAAGAAAAAAAGGGAATAAATAAGAAGAAAAAAAGAGTTTGAAGAAGAATAAACAATCAATAATAAGAAGAATAGGGAATAAGTAATAATAATAATAATAATAATAATAATAATAATAATAATGGGAAGAAGAAGATGATGGTGAATAGGATGAAGAAGTAGAAAATGAAGAAGATGAGGATAAAGAAGAAGGAAAAGGCAGAGGGAAAATAATAATAATAATAATAATAATAATAAAATAATAATAATAATGGGAAGAAGAAGATGATTGTGAATAGGATGGAGAAGTAGAAAATGAAGAAGATGAGGATAAAGAAGAAGGAAAAGGCAGAGGGAATAATAATAATAATAATAATAATAATAATAATAATAATAATAATGAAGAAGAAGAAGAAGGTGAATAGGAAGAAGAAAATGAAAAAGAAGAAAAGAAGAAGAAAAGATGAAGATTAAGAAGAATATTAATAAAGAAGAAGGAAAAGAATAGTAATAAAATAATAATAATAATGGGAAGAAGATGAAGATGGAACATGAAGAAGATGAAATAAAGAAGAAGGAAAAAGAATTATAATAAAATAAATAAGGGAAGAAAAGATGAAGAATTATGAAGAAGAAATAAATAATAATAATAATAATAATAATAATAATAATTAATAAGGAGAAGAAAAAAGAAGAAGAAGAAGAAGAAGAAGAAGAAAAGATGAAGATTAAGAAGAATATTAATAAGAAGTAGAATAGTGAATAAAGAAGATGAAGAGGAAATAATAAAAATGAAAAAAAAAAGAATTATGGAAATAAATAATAATAATAATAATAATAATTATAGGGAATAAAAAAGAAGAAAAAGAAGAAGAAGAGGAAATAATTAAGAAGAATAAGCAATAAATAATAAAATGGAATAAAAAATACGGAATGAATAATAATAAGAAAAAAGAATAAAAAAGAAGAGGAATAACTAATAATAATAATAATAATAATAATAATAAGAAGAAGAAGAAGAAGAAGGAGAAAGAAAGATAGAAATAAAAAAGCCGTCGCCATTATATAATTATTTTAAAACAGTTCGCTAATCTTTCCGTACGAACTTTGATAATAATTCGGTGTTCATTAATGCAAAAGTCAGGAATAGTTGCCTGATACTCGATTTGAATGTCTTTCTTGTAAAATCCAAACGATAGCAAGATTTATATATAATTGCTAGAGTTAAACGCATTGAAACTTTCGTGATAGACGACATTGAAATTGAAATAGGGTGTGTGCGGGGAAATCTTTTGCCTATTTCCTTACCAGTCAGCTTTCAATTTGATGATAGATCAAAAATAAAGGATTGGATCCATCCGGATTATGATCAAATCCATCAGCACAACGCACCCCCCGCCCCACTCCCTCACCCTTTTTCCCCAAGTCGAGCCGACAGCCTCACAGAATTGCAAAAGATACCTGAGTTAACGTTCAATGGACGTAAAATGACAAATGGCAAAACCGTTTCCGTTTTCGCCTGGATTTGTTTACGACAAACAGATAAGAACCTTTTTGCACAAAATCTTCCTTCACAAGTAAACTGACAAAATATGGCAGGCTTAAACAATCAATTGCTTAGGATTTGACATTATCGAATATGGTTTTCGGGAATATAAGACGTAAATCGTTTTACACACACACACACAAACATATATATATATATATATATATATATATATATATAGGTGTTCCAATAACTTGCACCGATTTTAAATGTGAATTAAGTGTAAGCATCTAATGATTTCTTTATTTTTCAGATTTAACAACTCAAGTCTGTGGCAATTTCAACACAAAAACTAATTTAACAGCATAATTGTACATCCCACAAAATGTTTAATAACTAAAATCTACTAAACTAATTGAGTTTTCTTCCCAGGTTTTTAGATAAGATCGTTAGCCGTATTGACAATGTTTATCGTAAGAATCATTGAAAAACTCTGAGTTATTCAGCTAGAAATAGAACAAGTAAAAATCGTTTTGTGTCAGGCCCACAGTCTTCCTAACTGAGCAATGGCGAGGGGAAAATAATCATTCAGTAATGGTACCAACATTCATACTCAGGTTTCCATTTTCAAATCCATTCAAGAACCATCAAGAGAACAGTTTAAAATAAATTTAAAAAAGATGGAGCAGTAGAGAGGGAAGTTAGATCAGGAGATCATGAAGTTAGATCATTATTTCACCTTAGAGCTAAAGAGATCAATTAGAAAAGATCCAACTCAATCCATAAGACCTTTGACACGTGGGAGAGGAGTTTCACCTATCACAATCCAAAGAGCAGTGAATAAAGACTTCAAAATGAAATCGTACGTGAAACCTTTTACTCCAGGACCGGAAGTTAGAAGGTTAGAGAGGGCGAAGATCACCTTGAATAAGTTGGAAAATTATTTTGGAATATATATATATATATATATATATATATATATATATATATATATTTGAACTCGATTTCAATCTTTCATGAGCTTCTGATTCTTAGCTATGACCAACAGCATGGCCTGCCGTTGCCCGTGCTTGATTCAAAAATCCTACAACTCATACAGCAATCGCTATCACTTGACTTAAAATATTTTTGCCCTTCCTTGCCTTTAAACGAGTGCCCTTTGCCGTGCTGATGTTGCTACATGCCTTACTTCTTGCCTATCTCACACTGCAAATTTTTTTCTAACCTCTATACTAAACATTAAATCTGTTATGAAAAAAGAACTAAACAAAATGAACACAAAACGATCAGCTTTAAAAAAGGACTCGTAACTGGAAAAACGAATGAAAAAAGAATGTTAACAACAAATACTTTTTCATACCTAACCCAGTTCTGCGGAATTAGAATCAACGTTGAGTTTAAGCAAGCGAATGAGCCAATTGGAGTAAAGTGTCACGCAGATTTAAATTTTTCCCACGTGACGAATGCACATCGATTTTTTTTTTGCATGCTAGCATGCTAGTTAAAATTCGTGTCAGTCAGCTGTTGGCTCTCACAGTGACCAATAGAATCTTCCTGCCCATTCGTGGCAGCCAGCTATAGGCTCTCACTCTGGCCAGTAGAAAATGGCCGTAAACTACATGAAAACTAAATCGTAGAAGCATAAAAAAAATCGATTATTTCCACTATCGATGGGAGTTGGGAAATGCCAAGTCGGTCTTGGCTTTCCCGCTAACTTGGAGCATGTTGCATGTAAATTTTGGTGCAAATCCATCGAAAATTGCGGCCGTGCATTCGTTACACACACACACACACACACACACACACACACACCCTGCCTTTTATAGATAGAGATTAATTAATTATGAACTTGTCATTTTCGTTTATGATCGATTTAATCACGATCTGTTAAGCTTGGAGAGTAATTATATATTCTTATTGTATCCCACGAGTCCAATACTGTTATAAAAACCTTCGAGAAATCCAGTGAGATGTCTTTAATCGTTTCTAAGTTATAATGGTTCAAACAGTAATCTAACAAATGGACAATTTTGCTGTTACATGATTTGGACAATTTTGCTGTTACACCCGGTATATATGTGTTTGCATATGCAAGTGGATGACAGAACGTGGTCTGGCGGAGGTGGCAGAGGGAAGGTACTTGTTGAGAATTCCAAGGGATAGAGGGAGGTGGAGAGCCATGATCGCCTACGTCCTGAAAGGACACGGCACATAGAAAGAATATGCATATCTATTTTCTTTTCCAGTTTCAGCTAATAGACCTGTGTCAGACCAGTGATGTGTTTGAGGCTGTGCGTCTGCTTCTCCACTGTCACACGCCGTTGTTTGTCCATAGGTAACTACGCGCCAAGTTTTCTCTTTATCTGTCCAGAGATCTTCGTCCCCATCGCCACCCGCTCGACAG